ATGTTCAATTCCAATAATTTTATGATTAAAATAATGAATTATAACTGGAAATATCTTTGCATCTTTGTTATTGCTACCATCATGTATCAGTTGCAATTCCTATGAATGGAATATTTTTTAACTCTTCTAATGTCTTTTGTAATGAATAGTGTGTCAAAACAGAACACATCGTTTTACAGTGGAATCTGAGGAGGCCACTGAGCCGTACCTCTTGAGGAGAAAATCAGTTAAGTCGGTCACCGATTACATCCACAAGTAGTGTCGTCGTCGTGCCGGAGGAATGATTCCAGACAGCGAAGGAGTCCAACGGTCATTGTCACGAGTTCATTTTACAGAAATATATACAAGGGTTACAGTTACATCGACCATGGAAAAAATGTTGTCTATGTGGACATGTGGATGTGGGAGACTATATTCACCCATCTACCCTACAAATAGTGACACATGGATCATCTCCAAAAGTAGGACATTTGCTGGTTTTGTTCAAAGGAGGGGAGGATGGAGGACTGAAGGTCAAATTGTAGGACATGTCCTACCAAAGTAGGACGTTTGGTAACTCTAACTATAGGTAATATGCCTGTCAAATACTGGCTGAAAAAAGTACGTCACAATTTTTTCAGTGTGCCTCCGACGATTTATTCCTGGCTACTACGAAATTGAGTCAGAGTTTTATTTCTTTGAGAATTATGACAAAACGTAATAACATGAATTTTTCATTTTTTTCACATTAATTTATTTATTTTGCATTTCTTCATTACTAAGATAAATATAAAACCTCACTTTTTTATTTTTCTTCATATTATGATTATGGTAATCCATTACTTTTATGCATTTTTTTTTTCAAAAGAATACGCTCACCGCTAGTATACTTCTATTCAAGAGTTGGCTGTGTTTACACCCTTATTCCGGTTACCTTAAGTTTTGGCGTCGTCGTTAAACCTATTCATATGCCTTGTTTTTTTGTAATTTGAAATTAAAATTTGCCAATTATAATATCCTAAATACTTCATCAACAATCACTAGAATCAAAGAATATTGAATTACATAGGGAAAGCATTACTTATACCTAGGAATATATGAGATTATATTTGATATTGAATATAGCCTTTTAAAAGTTATCTATTTTATTTTTATAAAAATGCATTTTATTTTATACATTTTTAAATACATAAACAATAAAATATCTATCAATCAAGACCATTTCCATGGCTGCGATTGATCAAACAGTGACAAAAACTTACCTTGAAATTGCAATTTATAGGAACTAATTTCGAAATTAATTAAGAGATTAACAACATTCCTTAAATACATTAATCACAATTTATTTATATAAATTTCAATGATTGATCTGTGTTATCAATCATCAATTACATTAAAAAGTGTAGAAACCTACATTAATGTTAAAAATATATTTTAGTTTTTATATGTCCTGGTTTCTTTTAATTAGTATTTATTTTTGTAATTATTATTAATGGACTCGTACTCAGGATTTTTAAAAGGATAGGAATTTAAAAAAATCACATTACTTTTTTTATAATGTAGTTTATTAATTTTTATAATATAGGTATGTAGAGTAATGCAACATGCGTTGCTCTAATACCTATATTGTTAGTCTAATGTGTTAGTAAAGTCATTGTACTACAAGAGTTTTTTTTTACATAAATAATTATATTTTTAGTAAATGAAAATATGTTGTTTTATGCGATTAATTGCAAATCAGGTTTAACAATTCAATTAACATCAATTTAGTTATTTATAGTTAATATTTATTTACTAATTTAGCATTTTTATTACGGAATTACTAAACTAGTTTTACCAGTCAGGAGGAATTCATGAGATTAATATTGGAATTCAAGGATTAAATTGACTCAAAAACTATAAATTTTCGAGGAAAGAATAAAAAATTTAAATTTTCTCAATATTTAAATTTTGTTTTTTAAACTAAAGTTAAGTTACTTCATTTATGAAATTATATATTTAATCTATAAACCGTTTAGTAGCATAATAATTTAAAATGTATAAAAAATGGAACAACAATGGGGAAATGCTATAACATATATTCATGTTTTATTCGTAGTCATTCTTGTCTGGCTGCGAGATATCACTTGACATCATCAAAATTCTTAAAAAAAGAAAAAAAATGTTATTAAAAGAAAACTTTTAAACACTTTAAATTATTAAAATTAACGAAATTCACAGAATATATTTAAACGCTGGCAAAAGTATAACATTTTCAGGGTTTTATATAGAGAAATTTTTGCCATATATGTTTTTTATAGTAAAAATTACATCATAATATAATTCCCTTTCCGATTATTCAACATTCTACTAAATATTCCTACTTATAAATTCTTTCTACTTAACTGTAATGGTAAATACAATATATTTTCATTACAGGCTATCTAAAATATTATATAAAATTATATTAGTATGCATGGTCATCCAGAGAAAATTTTCCAGGTGAAACAAAGCTTGGAGACAAGTATCACAACAATAAATTTTTATATAATTTGTGGATCTTTAACTCGATCGCAGGGAGCAAATACATCGATTGTCTCCCCCTCTTCACACGTTCATAATAGCATATATAAGAGATGAATCAAAGAATCAGAAAATGCTTAAAGTTTTTCACTGAAAGAATACAAAATATTTATGATTTTTAAATATTAAATAAAAATGTCTATAGAGTTTCTTTACAGATTAAATTCTGAATAATTTAAAATAAATAAATAAATTTTTCTTAATTTAAATTCTAAGTAATTCTCTTACATAACTATATGCATATGTATTATAGCTACAGATGTATTCAAATGTAAAGAATAACTTAACATAAAAATGAATAACTGTGATAAATAAATAAATGAAGTATGGAATTACAAATAAAATGTAATGAATTGACACAGAAAATATAAATTAATTAGCTTATTTTAAATAAATCATCATTAAAATTGATTTAAAAAAAAATAAATACATATATGTGTTTGTGTGTATAGAATAGAGTCAAAAGAAATGAAAAATTAGGTTAAATTCTGATTAAAATAGGTAAAGAATCTACAAAAGTAAAAAAAGAATTCTTCAAGATTGTGATAGATGATATATAAAACTATAATTCTTCATCTATAAAAAAATTCCATTTTAAATAAATTATACAGCAATAGTCTATTGTAATGCATTATATAGTAGGCCTTTGAAATATAATTTATATCTATTGAGAAATCAAGCATCATTTTAATATTATTGACATAAATTCAACTTTAAAATATTGTAAGCTATCCTCTGGCAGCTTTTTATGGGTATATTTTTATTTTTAATCGGGAAAAAGAAAATAAAAAAAAATGGATCAAATTCCACAACACACGTTTCTTCTGATAAGATAAATTTAATATAATTCGTCCTCCAAAAGGCTTTTTTAATCTGATATACAGTAGCCTGAATAAACTACCTGTCTAAATACTTAAATGTCAATGTTGTTTATATAAAAATTGAATTTGAAACAACATTTTCTAAATGTTATCATCAATATTTAGTAGAATCCAACTGTCTTAACAGACCGTGAAAGTCATTTTTATTCAAAAGTTGAGCTTGAGAGAATCCATTCCAAGAAATTTGTCGTTGAGACAGATTAAATCATTATTGAAGTGCTTCCAAACAAGAACTTCTTTTTCAAGTAAGAGAATTTTTTTTTTTCTTATCATTTTAACCTTGATTTTCTTCTTTTTTAATGGTTGATTTCCTTATAATATGAAATTAAATCTGAGATGCAACCTTGAAATTGTACATTTAACCGTGACATATGTATCAACCTTGAAATTTCGTTTATTAAATAATNTAAAACATTCTACAATCTGCTATATCAGTGTGACATGCATAAAAAAAACTAAACGACGAAAAATAGTAACGAAAGGTATGTTGCATTATGTTGTGTAGACCTCAAACTAGGATTTCCAAGCACTTGTTATATATTTAGGTCTTTGTAGTTGACAGCATTTCTCTTATGCATTGATTTATAGATTTCAAGATTCTTGACATGTTCTTGATTGTGTGTGTTTCTGATGTGCTGGTGATCATCAAGCATATCAGAAACAAGTACCACCTTACAGGCACGTATGCTTGGTAATGTAATATTTGTGTTTGTTTACCATTTACCATCTTCATCAGAGACTGTTTAAATATTGCTGATGAAGGTGTAGTTCTGACACAGGACAGGTATAGAAAATGTTTGTAGAACTTTTAAATAGTAGTTGCCAAACTGATTTTGAAGTTGTTGTCTGTGTTCTCTTTTTATATAATGTCCATTTAAATGATGGAAAAATTTTTATTTTTTGTCTTTTAGTTTTTTGTGCATTGATGACAGAGCAGCAGTTGTAGAATGCTTTAATTTTTATATTTAAACACATTTGGCATTCGTATGTATTTCTGTTAGTATTTGTAAATGTTTGATTTTTGGATCATCATTCTGATGAAGGTCATTAAATATGACTGAAAACATTTGTTTTTTCTGTAATTATGCCTTGACTTTGGTTCAGTATAGCACTGGACAGAAGTGTATATATACTGTGTATATAAGATCATACGGACGTAGAGATAAAGATGCGATAATTTATATATGTGTGTACGATGTAAAACAAGATAAAATAAAGGAATAAAAAAAATAATATTATGTATACATTAAATAATGGAGATGAAAATACAGTAAGAAATTGTAAGCATGTAAGTGTAAGTATTAACACAAGAAGGAGGTAGAAAAGTCGTAAATCAGGAGAAATTGTCTATAACATAGCGTGCAGATATAAAACAACCCGTCCGCCAAGTTTATTGAACTCGTCACGTCTGCTTCTCTTCCTCGGTATATTGTATACGATGTAGACGGATATCAGAAAGCAGAAGAAACTAGACCAATCTTGAATGACAAAGAATCCCCCGTAGAGACCCCTCTTCCCCATCTCTATTATATTCTCCTCTCATCCGGACTACTTGACGGCGCGGATGTTGCAAACTGTCATCCGTCGGTTAGTCAGAAACGATCCGTGCGCACTATTCCCGAATGGCGACGAGTGTTGTTGTTTGAAGGGGAAAAAGGTCCGAGAATCGAACCCGCAAACGTCCTAAGATGACGTCGATTCTTCCGTTTACTCCACCGGTCGTCAAACGGCTCTTGGGTTGGAAGAAAGGTGAAGGAGAAGATAAGTGGAGTGAAAAAGCGGTTAAAAGTTTAGTCAAGAAGTTAAAGAAAACTGGAGGATTGGAAGAACTGGAGAAATCCATCACCACACAGGACGTCAAAACCAAATGCATTACCATCCCCAGGTAGTTAGGCCTATGCTTTACTTATCCTTCCCTCTTTCATTCAATTCTCTATATATATTTTATATAACATTCATTATATAATTTACTTATGAAGTCTCTTTATAATAATAATAAACCAGTTTTAAAATTTATAAGAAAAAAAAAAAACTAGTAATAAAATGATTAAGTTTTTAATTAGTTTAATGTGTATATAAAATTATACTTTATCTATTTTATAAATGCAAATATTTATTATATCAAATACCAATTGTTACTGTTATATTGATTTGTCACTTTAACCAAAGGTGATTCAATCATTCTTTACTTTTCTTTTTAAATAAATTTTTAAATATGTTAATTGCTTTCTTTTCCTTCTTTGTTATACAATTTATTCTTTGATTTATATTAATATATTTGAATTTAATACAGAAATATAAAGACACGAAATCTCTGTAAGGAAACGATTCGACGGGAATATTTCATAAAATAGCTACGGAACTGTTAAATTAGAGAAAACCGTATTTAAAAAACTTATTATTTAACCGATGAGATGGCTTCTTTCCATTATAATTGTAATAATTTATGTAAAAAATAATTTTTTTTTTTTTGCTCTAAATAATATAAGTCGAACCCCCCATAACACTGTTGATAATTCCATTTTATATGAATTCCATGTTGTACGAATCACTTAGATTTTACAAATACTTGAGCTGGGCTATGAACGGCTCGAGTATTTGTAAAATCTAAGTGACTTGTACAACACAGAATTCATATAAAATGGAATTATCAACAGTATTATAGGGGGTCGACTGTATTTCGTTAACTATCTTATATAAGAAAGTTTAAAAGCAAGCACTTCTTAGTACTTATAAATTATTAATGATGGATTATAATAACAGAACATAACAATTTACACTTCACAATAATAGTAATTAATTTCATTTCTATTAATTATATAAAAGTGAATTTTTTTTTCCCTTAAAACTATACTTTTAAGAATATAAAAATGGAAATTGTTGATACTGCAAGTAGATATTTTTAAATTAAAGCCATTTGACTATTATCTAAATTGAATCTAGTTGATATGAGAAAATTTAATTTACTAACTCTTATATTATTATAAAACAACAATATATAATTATTTTTTAAAAAATAACAGACTACTTATAATTCTTTTGAATTAAACTTTTAAAAAAATATATAAATGTCCTTCTCTTCTTAATATAAACAATTTTGAATCATAAAATTACATCTTACATCAAAGAATTGATTATATCACAAAGAAAAAACAATAAACCAGTTAACATTTAAAAATGTATTTAAGAAGAAAATAAGCATCATTTAATCACTTTTGATTAAAATGTCAAATCAATATAACAATAACAATTGATATTTGATATATTATAAAAGCCTATATAAATTTATTTACATTTGCATTTAAAATTAAGTATTAAATTTGTATTTAATACTAAAAAAGACACAAAATATTTTCCTAAGGAAAAATATCTGATAAGTGTGTTTATCATATATACATCATTTATATAATACACATAAAAAGACATAATTTTCAAAATTTTATTTTATTTTTTTTTTTTTTTACTTCACTTATCAAGAAACATATCACTATTTTGTTTTTCAGTTTCTATTATGGCCTGATGTTTACATTTACAAAAAAAATTTGTGTTTTTTTTTTTTATTCATTTGATGTTTACATTGTTTTGTATGTTGATGGATGGATGCCCTATGCCCTAGACACAAAGTTGGCTGCTTCAAAAACAAAAATAATTTTGTCTTATTTTAGAACAATTATAGAAGATATTTTTTTAAAAAATGAGAAAAAATTTAGATAATTTTGTATAATAATTAACAGGCTATATATGTACCGTACAAAACTTAAATAACCTATATTTTTAGAGCAATATGTATTATAAATACCATTATATCATATTCTGTATATATATTATTATTTTTTTAAGTTGTTTAAACATAATTATTAAGTTACAGTCTAAGACATAGATTGAATGTTTGGTGGCAAAAAAAAAAAAAGAGGAGAGAGGAGCATTTGGTATTTTGTATGTTACATCTAATTGGATGTTTATCATGGTTTGAAAGCCATATTATCTGGTGCATAATGGTATGATTTATATGATGTAATTAAAACACTTCAGAAATTTATAATTGAATAAAAAGACATCTTGTAAATAAATTGTTGATAAAGGAAAATTAAGTGTTAGGAATAACATATTTTCAGTAAGAATTGTATTGTCATAATTCTCTGAATTTATTGTTATATGTTAAATTTAAATATTTAAGTGTGATGCAGTTCTGTTTATAAAATTTTTAAGATATATATTTAATATAAACTGTTACTAAATTTCTAAATTTTACTTGTAATATAATATAATTATAATCAAAATAGCATCATTTTATCTGTAAGAACTAAAGAAATTTGTATACCTTTTTTGTACATTTTCAGTCAGTTCAATTGATCTTTGATTTACTTTTCTGTTCACCAAAAATCTTCCATTAGAAGTACATGGGTAGGCTGAAAAGTAATGCACACATGCTTGTAGAACACGAACAGAAACAAATAGCAAGATCGGGCAAAAAGTACATTAAAGTACAATTTTTAAGCTTCAAAATCATATATTTATTTTTCAACATAGTCACCGTTAAGGCTAACACATTTCTCCCAACGTGTAACAAGTTTTTTCATTCCATCACTGAAAAATTCTTCCAACTTTTCTCAAATCCAGGAATTGACAGCTGCCTTCACCTCATCGTTTGAGGTGTAATGATCACCCTTGAGGACTCTCTTGAGTGGAGAAAAAAATAAAAATTGCAAGGCGCAACATCAAGGGAATAAGGAGGGTGTGGAATTAGTTTGAACTTCAGGTTTCGCAGAGCCTTTCCAGTTGCACGCAAGGTGTGTGGACAAGCGTTGTCATGTTGCAAGATTATTGGTGCTAGGCTGCCTCTAACATGACAAACTCAATGTCAGAGGTGTTTTAGAGTCTGTATGTACTGAGAAGAATTAAACATTGCAATGAGGGGCAACATTAATTGTTTGTGGCAGTGATCGGACGTCCGCTGCGTGTTTCATCAACAATTATGGCTTTTCCAGGCTCGCAACCATGAAATTTTATTATCCATCGATTTACAGTTGACCTATCAACAGATTCATATTCATTTTATTAATAAAATACTGAGTTACAGTACATACCTGGTGCCATAGACATATAACCAGGTGCAGACAAGATCATATTGGCATTATTACAGATCATTAACGTCAGAGGCTACAGTAACATTACATGTGTAATATATACAAAAGATGAGGATAAAATAACAAGTTGTATGATACAGAAAACATATGCATTAAAATATTATACAACAGAGAATCGCAGAATACAGGATGTAAATAACAAAATACAATATATTATAGAATAATAATGCAGACAAAGTATAATACAATATTTCAGTAGAAAACATAATACAATAGCAATTAATTAAATTTACAGTAGCATCGTCATCATAAACAGCCTTTAAACGACGATGAATCTCAGTAGGAGTCACTTTTTCAGCAGTTAAAAATTCGATAACAGCACGCTATTTAAGTCACGTTGACATAGCACTAGAACACATCTCCATATTTCCACTTCTCAAAATATACTGAATGAATGCAACAACCTCAAACTACACATGTGGATAGAGGGGGAACGTTACTTCCATATACCACCTGGCACGCTTCTGAAAATAATTTCGTCCACGCTCTACAAGCATGTGTGCATTACTTTTCAGCCTATCCTCATATGTAATGATGACAACAATTTTTCATATGCAATGATGATAAATCTAAATATCTTAATGTGCTTTTTTAACTTGAAATCTATCAGTGAATAAGTTATAGTGAATGCTTGGTCAAGAATAAGCATAAAAATATTTATTTGTTTTTATTATCTAATAGGGTATGAGTTGTTTTCAAAATTAAAATTATATCTTAGATCTTATATCCTAATTGAAGAAAATTTCTATTCCTTAACTCTTTAGCTGGATTATTAATATTGTAAATATGTACAATTATTTCTTTTTAAAATGCATTATATTATTATAAAAAATGAAGCATGTTTTTATTTATTTTTCAGTTTCTAATATTTTAAATATATAATATTGATTTGAAATATTGTGATAAATTATATGAAGCATAAAATATGTAACTTGATATTTTTGCATCACTGACTATATCATAGGACAATGAAAATATTCTGATTTTTTTTTTTTTTATGTATATCTGGAATATCTCCTCACTAAAGATAAAATATATATTTTGTTCCCTTAATTAATAAGCAGTGGTGAAAAGATTTATTATAAATATGGTACTATGGTATAATATGATTTAAATATGATACCAATTTTTATTAATTGAGACAATGTTAACGAAGTCTTTTCTATGAGGTTTACGGAATTGTGTTAGTTCTCAAAATCTGTATGATCGATTTTGATAAAACTTTTTCCATTTTCCATTAATTGTTATGGGGAATCCAAAAATAGGCCCATTTAAATGTAAAAAATAGGAATCCATGACTTCGTTTTTGATATACAGAGATATTAAAGTGACAATGTGTATGCTCTCTGATGCAACTAAGTATGTCTAATGGAATTTAGACCTAAGGGTCAAAAATAAAAACAGCATTGCATGTGCCTAATGGAAAATAGGCACAAAAACTAACAAAACACAAGAACAAAGCAATTGATAGCAATTGCTTTGTTCTTGAATCACTTCTCCATGTCAGCCAATGCAAGGATTGTCTGTCTTGTGGCTGGCAGGTATAAGGATAGCCTCTTTTGTGCCCAACAAGTACAGGGATAACTTCTTTCCTGCTCTGCCTCAGTTCTACCATATGACAGTCATGTGATGCCCTAGTTATAAAGACATTTAGGCTATAATGGTGGGCAAGAAGCAAAGAAAATTTGCAATCAAGCTTCTAAGATTGAAACAACAATATGTATCTGTAAGAATATTA